ATTTAATTTTAACTGTCAATTCTTAAGAATAAGATCCCTCAAAAAGATGTCTGTGTTCAGGACTTTCTACAGATTTTCTGCAAAACATCCTTATTGAAAAGAAGCCTTCAAACAGAAAATATGGGAGACAAATTCTAGCTGTTAGATATTTCTCAGAATAATTCTGCAAGAAGAAAATTAAGGAATTTTTCCTTGTGCATTTTGGAAGTATTTCATAAAGTTCAGCACATCTACATTCCTTCAACTGTTCTAGAAATACTTCTGATTTAAATGGTATTTTGATTAGGCTGTGATTTGAAAATACAAACCCATGGCTATTCTGTATTTTCTATAATCATATACTGTCTAGAAACAGGATCTTTGTGAAGAAGGCAGTAGTTCATTCAGAATTGTAGTGGCTTTACTGAGAATGTCAAAAAATACAGCAATTAGTGCCTGTTGTACCTCTCTTCTTTCTTACAAGACAGACAACTATTCATCATGTAAAAAATGCACACAACACGTTAATTTCAGATACAGCTCTCTCTGGGCTTTACTCCTAAATTTATAATGTTTACGGCAACCAGTCAATCTTGAAAATAAAAGAAAAAGTCAGATGTTTGTATTGTATTTTCTTAAACATGTACACAAAAGAAAGAGATTGAATCTCAGCTGACAGTCAGATGCATAAAACACACATGGGTATTTTCAAAGCCCATTACACTGAACAGCTATTGCTTGCTTACCAAGAAGTAGTCCCATTTCTGCATCGGGTGTAGATGCATCTAAGCTCTTGCTAGACTTGGAAAAATCAGCTCTGTTTCTTACTTGCTCCCTTTGTCTCTTCTGAATTCAACAATATGCAACATATTATTAAATGGCGCTGAGAAAGAGGACAAACAGTTTTTAAAAGTTTGAAGAACTTACATGATGGATTTTATTTTGTTTTGTTTTGTATTTTACAACTGCATGTTTTAAATGAAAGACTAGATATTGTTTTAAAAGCTACATACAGTTGTATCTAGCTACAAACCACTGATTTAAAAAATTGTTATTGTGTGAGTATGGGTTGCGTTGCACTGGCACAGCTTGCTCAAGGGCTGTGGAGTCTCTTCCTTGGAGATCTTCAGAAGCCTTGTCTGGACATGGCCCTGAACCTCCTGCTCTGAGTATCCCTGCTGGAGGAGGGGATGGCTCCTTCTGAGGACCCTGCCAACCTCAGCCATTACTACCCATCTCTTGCATAGCGAATGATGGAGCACTGGTGTGGTGGTTTCACATTTGTAAGAAGCCAAGCTCCACCATGCTGATCTTTCACTTGCTCTCCTCAAAAGGACAGAGGGGAAAATACGATGAAAACTAAACCCTGGTATGTTGAGATAAGTGAGATTCTTTAATAGTTACTGTCACAGGTAAAACAAATTCAGTGTATGGAGAATATTGTAATTTAATGTCAACTACCAGCAGACTAAAGGAGTGAGAACTAAAAACAAACCCAGAACATCTTTCTTCCCATCCAGCTTCTCCCTCTGAGTGGAGCAGGGGAATGGGAAATTGTGGTTGTGGTTCAGTTAATCTCTGCTGCTTCCTCATGATCACTCTCTGCCTCTGCTCCATGTGCGGTCCCTCCCACAGATGCCATCCTTTCCAAACTGATACCATGTGCCCTTCCCACAGACTACAGCTGTCCCAGCACTGCCCCAGCACAGCTCCATACCATGGGGTGCATTCTTCAGGAGAGCACTGTTCCCACAGGTACAGTTCTTCCAGCCCTCCTGCCCCACCATGGACTGTTTCCATGGGCTACAGCTCTGGTCTAGAGCTGCTTCTGTGGGGATATCCATAGGCTGCAGCTCCTTCAGCCACATCTGCTGCTGCCTGTGGGCTCCTCCATGGCTGCATATGGAGATCTGCTCCACTTGGTACCCGTAGGTTGCAGAAAGACAGCCTGCTCCTCCATGGGCCTTTCCTGGGCTGTGGGAGTTCCTGCTCTGGACCTGGAGCAACTTCTGACCTCCTTCTGCACTGACCTTGTTGCATGTAGGACTGTTCTCTCACATTTCTCACTCCTCTCTCCTAGCTGCTGTTGTGCAGCAGTTTTTCCCTTTCCTGAATTTATTCTCCCAGGGCACACCCAGCATCACTCATGGCTCTGCTGTGGCAGTGCTGGGTCTCTTTTGGAGCAGCAGGAGTTGTCTCTGATCTGACATGGGGCACTGAGGGCTTGTCATGGAGACCACCCTTGCAGCCCCCCCACCAACACAACTTTGTCACGTTAACAAAATACCCTGCTATATCTTTTTGCATAAAAAGAAAAATAAATGCAATTTCCTTTACTGAGGGAGTACAGGAGATGTTGTCTCCCAGCATTTGAGAGACAGACCACAACAGTGAGAGGTGAGGTCTGCTTGTGTCAATCACTGTCTGCTTTCTGAGAGAGAATAAGCAATGTGTTGTTTTAAGAATCACTTTTGCATTGTGGGATCTCTTTCTGGAAAGTTGTAGCCCAGTACACACATTGAGTGCTCATGCAAAGCGTGACAGGCTCAAGCTCTTTGGCTGTCCCACTTCATGTTCCCTTCCTCTACCTAAAGAATTAACAATAGAAAAGCATCAGAAAGCCATTATTTTCAACATGGCGAAATGAAAAAGGATAATTAGCTCCTATAGGCAGTATAATGAAAATGTGGAAATAAATCTCTGTTGCAGAAGGGAAATAAATTAAAGGCTTCCCTGCAGGACCATCTGTAGGAACCAAAAGTAATACAAGCTTTTGCTTTTACCAATTCTGGCTTCAAGAGGTGCTGAGGGCACTGGTGTTAGTCTAACCAAGTCTCAGTTTTTTTTTTTTTTTTTTTTTGCAAACAGCCTATCTTAAAGGATAGATTGTTGCAACTATCAGTCTGGTTAAAACCTCAGATACATCTCAGCGTGAGAGCTCATCCTCTGAAACAGTGAATTCCCACATTACTGTGGAACCAGGAGGAACATCTCTCTCAATACAAAGGAGGTGGATGTTTGCTTAGTCCCCTCCTCAGAGCACAATGCTCTTGCTTTTTTTAAAAAAACAAAAAAAAAACAAAAAAAAAAACCTTATTTGAGGTGGATGAAATGTAGCAGTAAAGACAAAATTAGGAAAGAGGTGGTGTCCAATTTTTGCATTTTCAATCATTATCACTATGAACTTGAAAAAATAATTGAAGTACATTACAGACAAACATCTGGAAGGTTCTGGGAAGAAGATAAATATATTTATTCAAGTTAGACTTCCTCAACGGAGTTCAGATTGTCAATAAAGTCGCATGCAATGACTATGGGGAGGTAATGTGCATTTACACCATGGCCACCACTCCTCTCATCTGGACAGGAACCCAAACACAAAAGATAACCTTTCCTCCTAGGTTCTCATCCATATATACCTTAAAATTGCAAGCCGAGTTCTTCAAATCATGGCATGAGCTACAAACATACAATTGATTATTTTATGATAACTGCTGTTTAAGATGAATTGCTACTACTGGCACAGACATTGCATTTTATTTGCTTCCTGGCATTTATTATTTATTTTTCAATTTTATTTGCTCTTCAGCCACAGCAACATGAAACTTCTTTTTTTTTTTTTTTTTTTTTTTTTTAATAATCTTAAAGTTGAGGTTTTCCTGTAATCATTACAAGAGTATGAAAGTTACAAAGTGGAATAATAGGAAGTAATAATGGAAGTGATTAAATCTGGTAACAAATTTGGACATTCCAAAGCACACAAACCAAGACCACCTCCTTGGTTCCCACTTTCTTGTGCTCCTCCATTTGATGAACATTTCACTTATTATTCAACAATTTTTTTTTTTACTTTTTTTTTTTCCTGGTAGAAAGAAGGTAATTAATTAAATTAAAATGTACTCAAAGAAGCCAAAGTTACTTTGTGCTAAAAAATCTGAAGCATATCCCAATCTTGCTCACACTGATTTGTTGAGTTTCTATGCTCTTAACTGATATACTTTGCTTGCTGTTTTTAATTCACACTTCAGAACCTGAAGTAGTTTTACATCTGTAGTTAATACAGTAACTTGGAAGCTACTGATAGTTATTTGGTAGAATTAACCTTTACATGGCTATTTTGCACTGGCATATTTTATCTGCACTTTACGTTTTTGGTAGCATGAAATACATGGACTTGTGAACGAGGAAAAATGAGAATGGTGAGAAAAAAAGTGTATACAGTTTTGAAGAAAGATGAAGTGGGAATGAGAATGTTAGAGTGAGAATGAGAAAGTGAGGAAAGTTTTATAAGAAGGAAGCTAAACAAAAAATAGGAAGTGAACTTTATACTCAGAAGTAAAACACAGATACCTATCACACACACATATATACATATACATATCGGGAATAAATTTTGTAAAATAATGATTTTTTTTTTAAATGCATCACTTTTAAAAGTAAACTTTTAGAAGGATAAGATAATATTAACAGACTAAGTAACTGTTCTCACGGTTATGTGCCTATGAAGACAATAGCTGTAATAGGTATATCATTGTAAACGTCACCTATAATAAGGCTAAAACATATTTTTCTAATTTACAAATTTGATGTTTTCTTTCTGTTACCAAGTTACCACTAAAACTTTATTTTAAAAGAAACTACCAAATCTTCAGTCATCGGCTTAGACAAGTGGTATAGAGAATATATGACTGAAGAATCAAAACAATGAAAACAAAATAATAAAGCAGCTAATTTTTGCTACAATGTTAAATTCTTAAATGTTTTTTTTTTTTTTTTAAATATATATATATATATATACATATATATTTAGTCAGTAGAATCAAAACATACATTCTAGTAATTTTTTTGGAAGAAAGATACCTACAGCTGCTGTCTTTATAGATTGATATCTACTTTTCATAAGCTTAGGTATAGCAAACAACTGAAATGTTGATAAGAGGTATTATCCCATACATTATAATGTATAATAGTTGAATATATAAGTAACAACATTCTATAGAAATAACCATATTCCTACTTACCCAACAGACAGAAAAGGTTCCTTTGATTCAAGTCTGTCAAGCAAATAACATGAGTTTAATATATAAATATTAATTCAATTTTGTAACAATCATATTATTGGTTTGAAATGAATACTCTCAATATGAAATTAATTTGGGGATGAATGCACAATCTGAAAAGCATGGAAGGATTTGACCCATTATCCAAGGAGCTTCAGCTGAAAGGAGCCTCATTTACTTGACTGAACTTTGGTTTAGCAATCATTTATGAAGCAGCACATCTAAATGCTTTAAACCTCAATGATTCAGATGATCAGGCTAGATTGAGCAAGTAAAGGATTTTTTTTTTCCCCTTAATGACAATGTTTCAGGAAAGATAATTATCTTTTATTTTTTTTTCAAATTTAAATAAAAACAAAATAATAATAAACATAATAAACATAATTTTTTGTGTGTAAATTTTAAATACTTCCCTAATTTTCCTTATTTGATGGCTTTTACACCCATTTTGTTTACTTTTTGCTATCTTCTATTTCTATAACATGCTCATTTCTTCATTCTGAGAAATTCTAGCTGATCTGCCACAACCAGCTTTGCACTGGAGCTGAATGTCTCCAGCTTGGTAAATGCTGAATCACACACAGTTCCAAAAAATATCATCAAAAATGTCATTCTCAAATGCCCTGCCATTACTGCTGTCTATGTGAGGAGCTGCACCACTGCAAAGTGTCAGGAGACTCTTTTACTGGTAGATTCCAGCCAACCAGGATGAATTTAACAGTCCTCATCTGTATTATTTTACTCTATTTTTGCTCCACTTTTTGTAACTGGAAGTAATGCCTCCTATTTATTTCCGTGGAAATTACAACAGATACAAAAGAACACAATACACTATTCGATAGAGCTCAGCTACAAAACACAATTTTTCTACATGGTCACCACCACTACCTATGAATTTTTACCAGTGATGAGCAAGAGCTTGTATGCAGCACTCATAAAAATCTGTACCACTGGAGATGACCCACTCTTTCACAGCTTATGAAAAGTTATGACGGCATCCACACTATGAAACTGTTGCCCTTGCTGTCCATCTGTGATAGATCCAAACAGATGGCAGAAGGTGCAAATTCTGGTCTATGAGGTGGGTGTGTTAGGACAGTCCATTCAAGGCTGGCAATGTGCTCCACGGTCTACAAACTGCTATGGAACCTGACATTGTAAGGTGTTGTAAGGAACCAGTGTTGTAAGAGAAAGGCTGTCTTCTTCTCTGGTGTGACTCTGGAACTTTGAGCTTTCAGTTTAGTCAGCATTGTGATGTAGAGGTCAGAACTGATGGTTTGTTTGGGTTCCAGGAAATCAAGAAGGATCACCCCTTTCCTATCCCAAAAAACAGTGCTCATTGCTTTACTCACTGAGAAATGTGTCTTTAATTTTTTCTTTGACTACTAATTCACATGTTGCCACTCTATGGACTGCCATGATGACTCCAGATCATAGTAGTGACACTATGTTCTGTCATCATTAGTGATGAGATCCAAGAAACTATCAACTTCAGCCTTGTATTGGTTGAATAAGTCCCGACAAACTTGCATATGATATTGTTTCTGTTCCTGTGTATTTATAACTGTATTTTTGAAAGCATTATATGATACTGTCATTAAAGAATATTACTTTTTTTTTTTTTTTTGTGAAGTATTAGCTTTTCAAAAAGACATTTTTTACAGTTACCATTGGAAATTTATTTTTCTTACAGTATGTTCTTCAGATGTACTTTAAACCCTATTTTCATGAGATTAGATCTCCAGTGATTTGTAAGAGTGACTTTAGATTTGAGGAAAGTAGAAGTATATCCAAAACACAGTAACTTTTCTCTTGTCCTTATGGGTATACCTGGACTTTTCATTTCTTTCTGGAGTTATAATCCACCTAGAAGTTAATGAATAGAAGAGGAGTCACTGTTGTTTATTACTAGAAGCACAATGGAAGCCTGAAGATGTGTCTGCTTGTATTCCCTGCATGTTTCTCCAGAGCAGCCCCACTGCTGATGCAAATGCTTTCCATCCCAGACTGCTGTGCTGTGCACCAAACTCTCACAGCACCAAGATAATGAGTATCCTGAGATCTCCCATGCTTAAGAAGTATTCCAGAGAGCAATGAAGTGACAGGACCCTTCACATGAGTGCGTCAGTCCTTTTCCTGCAGGATCTGCACCAGTCTCAAACCTAGTTTGTGTTATGCTTTTGCTTTATTTTTTCTCCCATTTTTCTGCTTAGAGTAATGAGTCAATCCTGTAAATTATCCAGAGTTTGGCTCAAGAGATTATCTATGAGCAAAATGAGCAGAAATGAAAAGCCTAGTAACATTTTTGCAGACATCACAGCATAGAAACTATGTGATGAAAAGAGACTTGGCACCGTTACGATGGAGAATATTTTGGTGGATTTTACTTTCATATTAAAAGCATGCGATAGAATGCCCTGCGGACAAAATACTGCAATTAAAAATCTATTTGGAATCCATTCTCAAGATAGAATTCAATTTGATTTAAATAGTGTTGCCCTGAGTTTGACCCCTTGCTAGTATATTCGACTAAATGGTTTTAGATAATTTGCTTCATTACTTTAAATTAGTTCAAGTGTTCCTCATAGTAAAGGAATACAATTATCTGCTGCCCTTTTATTTAAATTTCTAATTCAGTATATGACAAATTAATATAAAGGCTTTAAAATTGCAACACCATATAAAATAACATGCTATATCATTTTTACAAATGCCATTTATAAATAACTTTTATAGATATTTTACTTTCTTTTCTAGCCTGCAGTACACCAAATTCTCTTGAGTTCTGAAAAAATTTCACATAATTAAATGCAGTTTCTCAAAAAGAGTAATACTGATAAGCACTGAGAGAAGTGCTGTCATGCACCTTCTGGAAAAAATGTTAAAACTGAATTTATTTATTTTTTTGAAAAAAAAAAAAAAAAAGTATCATTTATGCAAGAAATACTGAAGTGTGCAGTAAAGAAGAGGAATAATATTTTAATTGGGTAGGAATGGTAATGAAGCTGCACTGATCAGGACTTTTCATTCTTTCCTGAAATGGTTTTCCCACTAGAAAATTTTGGTTTGTCCAAAGGTCTAGGCAAAATATCAATTTGAAAAGTTGGAAGGCAAGTTGACTGGTAACACAAATGGGTCATGGAAGGCTGAGGTTCTCGTTCCTTTTGATTCTGAGTTAAGTTTTATGAAAAGTCTAACGTTCTTACCTAATATAATTGCAAAAGACAAAAATATTTTTATGGTATTAGAGTTGCTCAACTAATGTCAGCCACTGTACAGGCATACATAATTAATTTATAACCACTGATATGATAAAATACTGTCACACTATGTGTTTAAGATAAGAACACCAGAAATTTCCCACTTAGCATTTTACCACTTGCAACCGAGTTCTTGTCTTGAGACATTTTACAGGATCTGATTTAAAAAATAGTGTATCTTATTATTTTCCTTGCTGCTAAGCTTGCCTACACTAATGATGATTATCTAAATTCCATCTTTGATATGGATTGAGCATGGAGATGAATAAAGATAGCATTACTGCTTCTTGTCAACGAATTGTTGCCTCTCCTTCCCAAACCTATAGGAAAATGTAGATAACATTTCTAACAATATTTGTACTGTACACAAGCAAATGAATTTTAGGGAAGTATTCTCCGAAGTAATTTATTATGAATAAATATTTTCCTAGTGGTGATCATATAATTTCCACCTCTACAGAGCAAGTAAGAAAAATATGTGGAATATTAGTCATTTATTAGTCTGATTCTGACTTTTCAGTGTAATAAAACTGTCTATCCTGAATCAGAAAAAGCAATGATCAGGAACAAAATTGTCTAAGACAATTCATTCTGGGTTACAACTTCAAATCAGATTTCTCAAGGAGAATAACCGAGTGTTGCTGATGTCATATATTGCCTTGTCTGACAGTGACTACAATTGACACGGGGCAGAAAGAATTAATACTTCTAACAGGAATCCAAAGAATTTCAGCTTTTCATTCATGTGTAGAAAAATCTTGAGTTAATTTTCTTCATAGTGTCTGTTATGATGCTGGGTTTTAGTTCTGGAAGAAAAAAAATGCTGATAACACTCTGTTGTTTTAGTTGTTGCCACAACAACTAAATCACACAGAGCTGAAAATGTTTGAACTTCTTGTCCTGCCCTGCCAGTAAAGTGCACTGAGGGGCACAAAGATCTGGGAAGTGTCAGAATGAGGACAGATGAATTAAGCTGCACAATGGGACATTCCACAACATCTGATATCATGCAAAAAAAAAAAAAAAAAAAATTAAAAACTGTGTGGAGCTGACTGGGCAGGCAGCTGCTGTTTGGTGACTAAGCATCAGTTGGTGGGCAGTGAGCAGTTGTTTCGTGCATCACTTGATTTGTAAAGATGTTATCACTACTATTATTATTTTCTTTTTTACTTTCTTTTCTGTTTTAGTAAATTGTTTTTATGTCAACCCATGAGTTCTATGTTTGTTTTTTTTTCCTCCCCAGTTCTCCTTCCCATGCCAATGGAAGAGGGGAATTAGCAAGTGATGGTATAGTACTGACCTGCCTGATGGATTAAACCACATAAGAAATAGCGTTTTATGCAACTGCTATACTGTGCAGTACATTTTATTTAGCCCATTCTAATTAGTACGTAAGCCCAAAATAAGGTAATAAGGTAATGTCAGAGCACTTTGTGCAGAAAAAGAATTTTAGGGAACTTTTAGCACGGGATATTGTCTGTGGTACCTAATGAGAAACTCTCTAACCTAACACGAGATAATACAATATACATCCTTTTAAATTCTTCTACCAAATTTTATAAAATAGGTTTTTTTTTACACATGACTGAAGTTATGTAGATCCCTAACAAAAACAATTTTGTCATGTGGTTTGTGAGCAACAAATTCTTGACATATGTACTAACAGAATAAAAAGTAGCATTCAATACTGGAAGGAAGTGCTTTCAAGGGACTGATTCTTCCTTCTGATATCTT